CAACCACATTTCTCTAAAGGTTACGAGCTAAGCCGCCTATGTTCAGGAGAAATTTTTTTTGTCAAATCACTTTTTAATAATTCATTTTTATCGATTTATAAACATTTTCTGAACTTTAGTACGCGAATTAATTGATAAAAATCTTATATGATTTTTTATATCAAGAAGTTCAATTTTACATTTATGTTTGATGGATTCGTATAATAATTTCCTGAATTTTTGACTTGTGGTGTCGAAGTAGGATCGTGGGGTTTGGAGATGGTTCGACGAAGAATTATTTAATGAAAGTTTGAGGTTAAAATTCTAATTAAAAAAAAAGATATGAATATTTATATTCCATCGTTAATTGAGAGACAAATATATTAAAATTATTATTATTATTAACTATATATCTTGATTACCAATTATTACTTTTGATTTAATACATTGTTACTAAAAATCAGGGGCGGAGCCCCATTAGATCCAGTGCGGGCTTGGGCTCCTCTAGGCCCAAATAATTTTTTTTTTTTTTTTTTTTTTGAAAGCCTAGTTAACAAGTAACAATCCAGATGGAAGCCCAACCCAAGTAACCACAGCCCATAACCCGTTTACGTTTACCGACTCGGACCCAATGACCCAGACCCATCATTCTTAACCCGTTTGAAATTAAAATCAGGTCAAACCCTTAATCAGTTAATCACCTCTCTCTCCATACTTGTCTCTCGCCTTCACTCTCAAAGTCGAAGCTCCGCCCGTCTCCGCCCCTGCACAGGTCACCGGTGGCCGGCATCTCCTAGATTAAGGGCTTTAATCTCCTTCCCTTAGCTCCCTGTAAGTGTAAGCTCCACCCCTACCTTCTAGATTAGGCCGAAACTGAAGTCGGTGAAGTGCATCTTCTTTACAGGCCGCAACTGAACCGCCGTCTGCCAGGCGCCACCGCACGATCCGCACCAGCTGCCGCCTGTAAAGAAGGTAATTAATTTCGAATTTAGATGTTCTTCAAAATTCCAACTGAACTGCAGTGCCGTGAGCCGTCTGTCGGTGCGAGTCTGCTACCTAATTTTTCATTTCTTCGATTTTGCCTGCTGCCTAATTTTCATTTCTTCGATTTTGCAGATTCTTATTGATTCAGTCATTCTCACTCAGTCACTCTGTCACACAAGGATAACTTGGTATGTGAATTTATATTGTGAAATTGGATTGATAGTGTGAAATTGTGAATTGTGAAATAGATTGTGAAATAGTATAAATTGCATTGTGAATTTGCGATTTGGAAGGTGAATTGATATTGTGAAATAGGATTGATAGTGTGAAATTGTGAATTAGATTGTGAAATAGTATAAATTGCATTGTGAATTTGCGATTTGGAAGGTGAATTGATATTGTGAAATTGTGAATTGGATTGTGAAATGTGAATTTCACTTGCGAATTGAAATTGTGAAATTGTGAATTTATGATCCTTTTGTTATTATGAATTATTCTCACTCACTTCAAGTAATAACTGGATATCAAATGTTTAAATCCAGATATCAAATGAATAGATACTTTCAACAAAAAAAGAACGTAGATAGTATTGATGAGGGGGTATCGAATAATGTGGATGTTGATGAGGGGTTATCGAATGATGTGGAGTTTGATGTCACAAAACTTCCAACTGATCCTGGTCTAAGGATACCCATTTTGGATGACAATGCTAACATCCGAGATGAAGTTCGAAGAACATATATGTTAAAGGGTCCTTGTCAGCCCCAAGATCATGACTTTCCAAAACGACAATTTGGAATAACAATTAGACGATTCAATCCTTCGTGGTTTAAAGAGTTCGATAGTTGGTCGGAGTACAGTGTAGAGAAAGATACTGCTTATTGTTTGTATTGTTATCTTTTCAGAACAAGTTCTGGAAAGCAAGGTGGAGGTGAGTCTTTTGTTGGCGAAGGTTTTACATATTGGAAAGATAAAAAAAGGTTTCATACTCATGTTGGGTTTCATGATAGTGCACATAATCAAGCTCGTATTAAATGTGAAGTGTTGATGAATCAAGAGCAACACATTCAATCAATTTTCTACAAACAGTCAGAACAAGCAAGAAATGCATATGTTACACGCCTTAATGCATCCATTGATTGTGTTCGAATTCTTTTGCGACAAGGGCACTCATTTCGAGGTCATGATGAATCTGAGGATTCTCTCAATCCAGGTAACTTCTTAGTGCAATATCAATTTTTGGCTGCTCATAATGAAGTTATCAATGCCGTCACATTGGGAAATGCTCCTCACAATTACAAATTGACATCACCTGATGTTCAAAAGGATAGAGTAAATGCTTGTGCTATTGAAACGATCAATGTTATTATCAAAGATGTTGGTGACTCGCTATTTTCTATTCTAGTTGATGAATCTTGTGATGTATCAATGAAGGAGCAAATGTCTATTGTTTTACATTATGCAGACAATAGTGGACATGTCAATGAACGCTTCATAGGGATTGAACATGTTACAAGTACCACGACTCTATCACTTAAGGCTGCAATTGATAAGGTATTTTCTAGATATAACTTGAGCATGTCTAGATTGAGAGAACAAGGTTATGATGGAGCAAGTAATATGCAAGGTAAGTTTAATGGTCTGAAAACACTCATTTTGAATGAGAGTCCATGTGCCTTTTACATTCACTGTTTTGCTCATCAACTCCAACTTGCGCTCGTGGCTGTGGCAAAGAAGAACATCCCTATTACTAACTTCTTTGGTGTGGTTGGGAACGTAATAAATACTGTTGGAGCATCTTCCAAACGATGTGATCTTCTTCGAGAAAAACAATTAGACTTTATTGTTGAGGCATTGGAAAAATGTGAGATTTTAAGTGGACGGGGACTTAATCAAGAAACGACCCTTCAGACCTCTGGTGATACAGGATGGAGTTCACATTATAATTCTTTGTTCAGCTTGCTTGCCATGTTCTCTTCTGTTGTAGATGTACTCGCAATAATTATTGAAGATAAGTTTTGTTCTTGTGATCAAAGATCTGATGCAACAAATTTATTGGAGTTGATATAAAGATTTGATTTTACATTTAATCTACAGTTGATGAGAAGTGTGTTGGGGATTTCAAATGAACTGTCAAAGGCATTGTAAAGAAAAGATCAAGATATTGTGAATGCAATGCAATTGGTGAAATTGTGCAAACGATGACTCCAAATAATGAGAGACGAAGGGTGGGACTCCTTTTTGGAAGAAGTATGTTCTTTTTGTCAAAAACATTATATTTATGTACCCAATATGGATGATATGTTTGTACACCTTGCAATTCGTGGTCGCCCTCAGCGTAATTCTCCAGAAATTACAAATTTACATCATTATCGAGTAGATTTGTTCTACTCTGTCATCGACTTACAATTTCAAGAATTGAATGATCGTTTCTCGGAGGTAAATACAGAGTTACTCCTTTGTGTAGCTTGTTTTTGCCCACAAGATTCATTTTCTTCTTTTGACAAGAAAAATTTGATTAGACTTACCGAGCTTTATCCATTAGATTTCTCTGCAGTAGATGGTATTGTACTTAGCGATCAACTTGAGACTTATATTTTTGACATGCGCTCTAACTAAGAGTTTGAAGGGTTGAATGGCCTTGGTGATTTTGCGAAAAAGTTAGTTTTGACAAAGAAAGATAAGGTATATCCATTGGTTTACAGACTTTTGACTTTAGCATTGATTTTACCGGTTGCTACCGCTATCGTGGAGAGAGTTTTTTCTGCAATGAGCAACGTAAAGAATAGATTGCGCAATTGGATGGGTAATCAGTGGATAAATGATAGCACTATTGTTTATGTAGAGAGAGATATATTTTTTGAAATTCGATAATGAAGTTATTGTACGGCGATATCAAAATATGAAGGAACAAGTTTAATATATAAATTAAGTCGTTTTTAGTGTTGTTATAATATTGTTTTATTTTTTTATCATCATTAAATCTATAACCAAAATCTCGAAGTTCGGCGTCGAAAAATGATGCCCACATTGAACATAAATCCTGGCTCCGCCCCTGCTAAAAATTCAGGAGATAAAAAAAGATCTAAGATCGTTTGTCTGCTTGGCTAGTCAAGCAAAATTTCATAATCTCAAAAGATACCTGTATGAAATTTTAATCGGTGCTATTTGCGTCAATTTTTCAAAGGAAAAGCAAGCTAACCCATCCACAGTATCTAACTCCACTATCGGATCCAAATGGATGGCCCATTAACAAATCGGTTACTCATAAGAAATTGTGAGGACAAGATTTTTGCCATTAATGGTGAGATATTCAGATTCTAAGGTTTTATTTTGATACTAAGGTAATTTTATAATTAGTGTATATTCTTTGTAATTAATAGACTTATTTTATATAATTTTCATATTTATTTCTATAAATTTGTATTGATTTTCTTTTAATTCAAGGTTTTATCAGAGTTAAAAAGGAAGAGGCCTTACTTTAGGCTTAAAACGTGCTAGGTGTTATTATAATATAATATATTTTGATTAGAGTTAATCTCGTAAATCGTAATCATTTTTTAAATAATATAATGACTTAAATATATTCACTTAATAGTTTAAAGTGAATGAATTCATGGAAATAAAATAATATTTGAAGAAATTAATTTTTAATTATGCATTACCACATGCAATTCAAATATTAATTCACACTCGTATCCTTGAAAAAAAAAAATAGTAATATTAGTTTTGTTTCTAAACATTTCTGCTATATTAGTTAGTAAATTTTAAATCAATGAGATGGTATAAAAATAAATTAAAAATGAATGTTAAGAAGTGCAAGAAAAAGTGATAAGAGTGTGTTTGACTTTCATTCGAGAGGCGAAGGTGAAAAAAAAAAAAAAAGAAGGGAAGAAAGAAAAAAGAATAAATAAATAAAATCTTTATTTGACTTAAATTGTGGTATTTGTCCTCAAAGTATTGTCTAAGTTACATATTGGTACACAACCTGTCGTTACTTAAGTCACGTCACTGTCCTTTTCCCATTGAAATATACAGAGAGAGAGAGAGAGAGAGACCAGAATCTTATAAACGTTAGAAACGAATACTTTCTTTTTCGGTAATGGCGTCCTTCTATCTAGCCCTGGCCACTCTCTTTCTCGCAACACTTATGGTACTTCCGCTGTCGCTGGCGGCGGCGGCCACCTGTACATCACAGACCTTTACAAACAACAAACTCTACTCCTTCTGCAACGACCTCCCTGCACTTAACTCCTACCTTCACTGGACCTACGATCCGGCCCAGTCCACGCTATCCATCGCCTTCATAGCCCCACCTGCCAAGCCCAACGGCTGGATTTCGTGGGCCATCAACCCAACCGCTACCGGCATGGTCGGGTCTCAAGCTCTCATCGCATTCAAAGACTCCAAGGGTTCAATGACCGTTAAGACATACAACGTTAGTTCCTACGGTCCTGTGACTGACTCCAAGGTCTGGTACGAGGTTAAGGAATCTTCTGCGGAGTTCTCGGGCGGGGTTATGAGGCTTTTTGCCAATATTGTTCTGCCGGAGAAGTTGAAGAGTACAGTGAACCATGTCTGGCAGGTGGGCCCTTCGGTGACTGGTGGGGTCCCGGATAAGCATGAATTCCAGCCCGGTAATTTGAATTCTAAAGGTAGTCTTGATTTGTTGAGAGGACAGAGCACTGGTGGCTCCGGCGGTGACTCTAGAACCAAGAAAAGGAATGTAAGCTCCTTAATTTTACTGATGAAATTTCAAATTTTCACTAAAAAATAAATCTTATAGATTTCTTTATTGCTGTTATTGTCATCCCTCTTACTATTATGGGGATTTTGAGGCCGGATAATCATGGTTTAGAACTTTTGAGTATACTCGGAAGTTAGATGGTTGATTCATATTTTTCCGTAGATATAAAGAGGGAGAGCAGGACAGAGAAGCAAAGTTAATGTGACTTGTTGTAGTTGCTAAGGATTTGGTTGCTTTAAATCATCGAGTCCATCTAGCATTTGTACTGGAGTAAAAGAATTAATGTAGTTAAATTCATATTTGTTAGGAGCGCGATTTAGTTGTTAGTTGTTGGTATTTGCCAATGATCGAACATCTTATGAAGAATTGTAATAAATTGGTTATGTATTCTCTCAGATCCATGGGATTCTGAATGTTGTGAGCTGGGGTCTTTTGTTTCCAATCGGGATCATTATCGCAAGGTACTTAAGAGTGTTTCCATCGGCCGATCCATTATGGTTTTATCTCCATGTTTCTTGCCAAATCTCAGCCTATGCCATCGGGGTTGCAGGCTGGGGAACCGGTCTTAAACTCGGAAGTCAGTCGAAGGGTGTTCAGTATTCTCTTCATCGCAATATTGGGATTGCACTCTTCTCTCTTGCAACCGCGCAGGTGAATTTCTATCTTGAAGATAGCTATTTTCTACTCGTCTCTCTTCATGAATCTTTTTTATGAACACTATGATCTATCTGTTCTCTAAAAAGGAGGGCCCTCTCTTGGCATGAATTGTGAAAAGGGTTTTGGATATGATATTTGAATTGATTGCTCAACTAGGTAGATTTGATTATTTAAATTTGCCTTAAATATCTATCTATTTGGTGCCGAATTCGAAATTTTTCTCTCTGTTACAGATATTTGCATTATTCTTGAGACCGAAAAAGGAACACAAGTATCGGTTTTACTGGAACATCTACCATCATGGAATCGGGTATGCAATTCTCGTACTTGGCATCATCAATGTTTTTAAAGGTCTAGATATCTTAAACCCCGAGTCAAAATGGAGGCATGCGTATATTATAGTGATTGCGGTGTTGGGAGGTGTTGCCCTATTGTTGGAAGCACTTACTTGGATGGTTGTTTTAAGGCGGAAGAAGTCTAGTACGTCGACGAAACCATACTGTGGTTTCAATAATGGAATTTGAAGACGTCACACTCCGCCTCACGATCAATAGCTTCTTGGCATGTTTGTTACGAAGAAGAAAAACAAGTTAAAATATTGTTCTATCTTGTAACTATGTTGTTCATTGTCGTGTACCAAACATGTCATTCTTGCATCTACAAGCATGCAATTTTCATATGATCACTTCTATTCGCATATTTCTCATATGACACAGCATTAGACCATTAGTCATTCGAGAGATGCACATGACCAGTCAAGCATACTCGTACAAAGCTTTGTATTATTACAAGTTCTTAGTATTATTACATTTTTTATGTTTATTAGATTCATTATTATAAAATAATTTTACATCGAACTAAACCACAGAAGGTTCATATACATCTTAAAGCTGTCATCGTTGGGAGATAAACAGAGTCTGCACATGATGGCTCATTGTGACTCAAGTAAAGGCGCACGTGCAGCCATCAATTTCGGATTCCCCATTGATTTTTCATTCAAAATGTTGATTTAGATCAGGCCGGTAAGGCAAGAAATTTGCTTGTATTTTATTAAGTTTGATTCATTTTTAATAAAGAGCGTGAAATTTTAATAAAACATTTTGCCTCCCCTGCGAGCTAACTTCTATTCAAATAGGACTTTATCTTGTGAATCTATGAAGGAATCCATTCGAACACGAGTTTTGCTTAGCAAATACGAGTAATCCAATGTCAACTCTCTCTTTTCATACAAATGTTCTTGATATATACTAACTTAAGCGTCAACAAATTGTTCGGCATGATACTATGCCCTTATTTCATAAAGCATTTTGGCTCCTCTCAAATTAATTCTTAACAACCGTTACATCAAATAAAGTCATCTGTTTGATAAATTTTGACCACAACAATAAATATTTTCGTGGTTCTCATCACTAAATATATAGGTTCTGTTTGACAAATTTATAAATGGTTAGAAATATGAATAGTAGCTTATTTTAAATTGTAGTTACAGTATCTAGTTAAAATTAAAAATCGCCGACTAACATCGTGCCAATAGTCATGGTAAGACAAGGGCAAAGGTTCTTAGAAACGATTGGGTGTAAGGTGTACATAGGCGATGAATCAAGTTGAAAGTGGAAGTCGTTCGAAACTGGTGGAATGTTGGATTTCTTGATTTTCCCACTCCTATTATTTACTATTCTATTCTGAACATGCGTAAATGACAACTTAAGTTGAGTGAATTTATAAATCCAAACTTATGTATAATTTTCCAGCAATGTGACCAAACCTATACAAGAAGCAAGTAATTTTCAACTTTTGGAGTGTTCATTTTAGTTGGGAGTTGGTCCCCCATCATCTTTTCAATTGCTTTAAACTGCTTTTCACTTTATGTGGGATGCATTGATGTTTCAACAACCTAACATGCTGGTGAGAGGCAAAAACCCAAAAAGCCATCCCTTTTTGCTGGATTTGAATGTAATTGATTAGTAATTTTCAAAAACTTGATTATCTGTCACAAATTAATTTTAATAATTTCACTTTTATTATTAATTATTTTG